GGGGGGGTCTTTTGGGAGTGGGGTGTGGCCTGTGGGGCGTGGCCTGCAGCATCAAGGTGCGGGGGTCTATTGGGAATGGGGCATGGCCTATGGGCAGTGGGGTGTGGCCTGTGGGGCCAGGTCAGGGTGGGGCAAGGGGGGAGGCGCTAGGCAGCTGGGTGGGGGTTGTAGCTTGTCTGAAGCAGGGCTTTCAGGTGTGTGTCTCTCTGTGCGTGTTTAACGAACTGTGAAGACATACGGTATGTGTGGAGAGCTGCAGCAGGAGGGGCTCTGCCATGCCAGCGCCAGTGACCCATAACCCCTTCCCTGCCCCGATCCCTGTTTTTGTTCTTTTAACAGCAGCCCCAGCCTCCTCTTCCAGCAGAAGTGTCAGCAGCAAAGGCAGGGCAAGCCCCCTCCCCTAGAGTCACAGGACTGGGACAGACGGGGCTCGGCCCACCCAAGACTAAAGGCCCAGCCTCTCAGCTAAAGGGCAGGAACCACTAGACCGGGGTGGGCAAAATCCGGCCTGCAGCCTGAATCCGGCCCACTTAACATTTCTGTCCGGCCTCCTGTGCCCCGTCGCGATCTCCGAGACTGAGCTGCTAAAAGTCCCACGGCACAGTGGGACACTCAGGCAGGCTGCCTGTCTGCCATGGCGCCACGCCACTCCTGGAAGTGGACGGCTGCTGCTGGCACATCTCTGCATGCCCCTGGCGGGGTGGGGAGGCAGCTCCATGCACTGTGCCCGCCCCCAGCACCATCGGCACAGCTCCCATTGGCCAGAAACCAGCCAATGGGAGCTACGGGGGCGGTGCTTGCGGGCGTGGGCAGCACGCGGAGACCTACTACCTGCCTCCCCCCAAGGGGCGCGCAGAGATGTGACAGCAGCAGCCGGCCGCAGCCACTTCTGGGAGCAGTGTGGGGCCATGCCATGTAGGCAGCCTGCCTGAGCCCTGCTGTCCCGCTGGCCTGGAGCCACCTGTGGTAAGCGCTTCCCAGCCAGAGCCTGCACCTCGCACCCCCTCCTGCACCCCAACCCCCTGCCCCAGCCCGGAGCTCCCTCCTGCACCAAACTCTCTCCCAGACCACACACCCCCTCCATTAATATAGTAGAAATGTGTGGCCAAAATTCATGGAGTGGCCCCCCTGTGAAAATTATTGCCCACCCCTGCACTAGACCCAGGCCTCAAATGAGGTTAATAATGAGGGAGCCGGAGGGGGACCTGAGCAGAGAACCCCTGGCAGCGCCCAGTGCCCCTCAAAGTCATGTAAGGAGCCAGTGGACATGGCCCAGAGGAACTTGGTCCAGAGATCTGATCGAAATCTGCCCTGTAGTGCACTGTGATATCTGCTACAAACCCCAATGGCAGGAAGAAAGCATTGTGCTCCTCTGTTCGCACAATCCATGTAACTCTGCACAGAAACGAGGGGTTCGTGATCCCTTTGGCTGCAGATGCACCTCTCAGATTGCAGAGTGGGCTGGGGCAACCTACTCTAATTAATCTCTGCGCCAGTCCGTACAGCTGTCTCTTACGCCGTGAAGGGCGCGCAGAGCCATGAGAGAATACACAACTCATCAGATGGCACATTTACTTTGTCCTTCCGTATGTAGGCCTTGTGATTTTATCCAAGAAACACTGATCAGACACCCCACATACCAAAAAAATGGAATTGGTGTTTAGCCAATAAATGCGGACTACAGGGGTTTGATTTTTAAAGCACAAGGTGCCGTGCATTACTTGGTATGTGTAGACCCTGCTGGGTGCACACTAAAGGTTCCCTAGTGCACTTTAACATGGTGCTGTTTGAAACAATACTGTGAAAACACACTAGGGAACAAAGGCAATGAACGCTAAACCAAGCGTTTGATAACAAAGATACAAAGCTTCAACTAGCATGTTCGTTATTTTTATATATGGAATACAAGTTGAAATAGACCCTGTTTAGGCAAGAGTTTTGGGAAGTACCTGATAAAAATCTTCTTGTTACAGAATCAAAGAGAAAATTGCCCCCACCCCAAAACAAATCCTCCCCTGATTTTTGGACATCTACACAGAACTCAGAACTTGCTGACCTCCCCCAAATGAAATGAATACTCCCCCCCAAAACAGAACCCCCAATTCTAGGGCAGCCCTGGCTAAATCACTTTTGCCAGCCTCAGGGGGCAGAGTTAAGCTTGTGGGATAGAGTTCATGTGTACTTTATGTCTCCATGCACTAGAATATCAGGGTTGGAAGGGACCTCATGAGATCATCTAGTCCAACGCCCTGCTCAAAGCAGGACCAATCTCCAGACAGATTTTTGCCCCAAATGGCCCCCTCAAGGATTGAACTCATAACCTTGGGTTGAGCAGGCCAATGCTCAAACCACTGAGCTATCCCTCCCCCCAAAATGATCCCACCAATTCTTCTTGGGAAAACCACCCACCTTAACTAGTACCAGCTCCTGGCTGCTGCAAGATGTGATGACCAGTGCGTGCTCAGTCAGAGCTGCCCTTTGCTAGGGTTTCTAGGCCGACCATGATGAAGTCAGTGGGGTCCCTACCCTGTCACTACTGTCTCTGACAGTATGTGTTTTTAGAAAGGTTCAGGCGACAGTTTGATGCTCAAAGATGACAGAATCAGAGGGCTCCTTCTAATTACATTTCAGCTCCCCCATGTTCCCTAGCACTTCCTAAGGGGAGCTGTTCCATTGAGGACTCTGGTGTGAAGAGAGCTGGCTGCCCTAATGGCTAGTAGTGCCGGGCAAAATTTGTCATCCAAAACTTTTTTCCAGCAAAAAATGAAGAATAGGTGACACTGACGCGTTCTGTGAATTCACATCAGTTTCGCCCACTTGTTTCAGTCGAAAAAAATCCTAAACAAAGAGAGTCTGAAAAAATTGGAACATTTTGTTTGACATTTTCAAAATGAAACATTCTGAGTCTGATATTTCAAAACCTCCTTTAATTTTATTTTAAAACCATCAAAAACATGTAAAAATGATCAAAATTGAAATGAAATGTTTTGTTTGACTCAAAACAATTTTTGGTTAGATGCATAAGAACACAGGAGCATAAGAACGGCCATACTGGGTCAGACCAAATGTCCATATAGCCCAGTTTCCTGTCTTCTGACACTGGCCAGTGCCAGGTGCCCCAGAGGGAATGAACAGAACAGATAATCATCAAGTGATCCATCCCCTGTTGCTCATTCCCAGATTCTGGCAGTCAGAGGCGAGATACATCCACAGCATGGGTTGCATCTCTGATCATCTTTCTTGGCTAATAGCCATTGATGGACCAATCCTCCATGAACTTATCTAGTTTTTTTTTTAACCCTGCTATAGTTTT